AAAAAAAAAAAAAAGTACAGTTGCCTGGAATTTGGCTCAGTGGTTCTGCTGCTTGCTTCACAAGCGCAAGGTTCCCAGTTCGATCCCCAGTACAAAAAAAAAAAAAAGTACTAGAACGAGAGGTGTACCTCAGTGGTGGAGCACTTGCCTGGCACATGTGAGGCCCTATGTTCCATCTCCAGCATTGTTGGGAAAGGGTGGGTGAGTGGGGAGGTGTCAGCTACTCAAAAATCTGAAAAAATTTAACGGGGTGAATTCACTCCATTTATGAGGAAATATTCTGCCATAATAAAATTGAGAACCAGCTCAGACAAACACAGTGGTACTTCAGTCCACGAACTCAATTCTCTCCAGAATTTTGGTTGCAAACCAAACTAGATGAGAAGTGAATCAAATTTCGCCATAAGGACAACATTGAACCTAACTACTGAATTTGATTTGGTTTTGTTCAACTTGGTTTACAAGCAGAATCATGCAAAGAGTTAAGTTTGTGAACCAAGTACCACTGTAATTTAGCACTGACCAATGTGAAGAGCTCATCACAAGGACTGTACCCTGTAGCCCATACAGGGTGTGGTCAAATACAACAGGAAGTTTAGAAATAAGGTTTATATCCATCAAAGTGGACTTCTGACTTTTATTCATCTAAAATAAAACTGTCAAAACTTATGGAGCATCTTCTTAAGTAGTAAGTAGGGTACATATATTTTCAAAAAAGACAACGACCAGACATGCTGGCACACACCTATAATCCCAGCTACTTAGGAGGCTAAGGCAAGTTCAAGGCCAACATTAGCAACTTAGCAAGACCCTATATCAAATTTTAAAAAAAGACTGGGCTCAATCCTAGTTAAGAGGCATGGGGACACAGACAAGGAAACCCTGAATCAACTTTAAAAAACTGGGGGAGGGGGGAATAAAACTAAAAGAGACTTAAAAAGAAAAATTAATCTCCCTCTAATCTAGTAAAATGGCCAGTAAGATGCAATACTTTAGAGCAGATTTACTTTCTTTACAATTCATGGTGGAAAGAAAGAGGGAAAATACAAACCACTAGCCAGATCTGAAGAAAAATCAACATTTATTTTAGCTACAACAAAATCTGTGTCAGTACAGACTTACACTGTTAGGGCCCAAGAAGATGCCACTGTAAATTCACAAATCAAACTGAAATGAAGGCTTAATTCCAGGGTGTGTGTCTCTGTATATAGATATTACAGGATAATATAGATTTTTATTTTCTAGATTTGAAGATGAGGCTATTATATTTAATTCTACTTATTTATATGTCAATATAATAATGTATTATACGTTCTACTATATTTGTTGCCATAAAATATTCATAGACTACCTTGATCCTCAACCAGGCCTAGTGGTATATGCCTGTGATGCCAGCACTCTAGGAGGCTGAAGCAGTAGAATCACAAGTTCAAGAACAGCCTGGGCAACTTAATGAGGCCCTGTGTTAAAATTTTAAAAGGCCTGGGAATGTAGTTCAGTGCAAGTAGTTCACAATACCCGGTACCACCAAAATATTTAATCCTCAAAAAAACCATTATATTATCTTTGGATTATACCTGTGGGAACTAAGACTTAAAGAACTCATTTGCTCAGTTTTAGCTCAGTGGCACTGCGCCTGCCTCACAAGCGCAAGGTCCTGAGTTCGATCCCCAGTACCAAAAAAAAAGCTCTTGGAAAGAAGAAATCATTTACTAACACCACAAGTGGAAAACCTGAGATTCAGAATTATGTGTTGTCTACCATAACATATCATGAAAATCTAAACTCTACAAATCAAATACCCACATGACATAAACAAGTTTTATATTACATAAAGGCAAATATATAAAAGTCCAGGCTTTACCAATGTGCGCAGAAGAGTTAATACAGCAGGCCTGGGACTGTCATACTTAGAAAGGTCTGCTTTTAAGTCAGCCCTTGGCTGGGATTTAGGACATTAAATTTTAGGAGAGTTCTCACCACTCCCTAACAAGAACAGCTCACTGTGCCTAAACAGCACCAACAATACAGTTTATGGTCAATACCACTCTTTCTTCTGGAAGTCTAGACTTTCAGTACAACTAAGGAAGAAGTTTACATGACCAGTCCCACATAAAAACCCTGAAGTCTTGAGTAAGCTTCCCTGGTTGACAACACTGCACATTGTGTTGTCACAACTTGTTGATGTATTAAGCATGTTCTGTGTGACCCCATGTAGACACAACTCTTAGATGATCTTAGATGATTGGCCTGATTTTCTCCACTTAACTCCATTCCCTTTTGCCTTTCCTGATTCTCCCTTGTATCAACTCAGTATAATAAACTATGTATGTATATGCTAAGTTTTATAATTCCTCCTAGAATATCACTGAAACTACTCTGGTCTTCCAGACTTTTGACATAAAATGGTAGACCCCACACACACACCAAAAAAATCATATGATTAAAGATACATACATGCATATTAAGAGGGTCTACTAGGTGAGCAGCAATACTCATTTCATACTCTGAAAGCTTCACGTTTTTCACACCAATTTGCTTCATTAGCTTTTCTGCCTGGAAAGAAAAAAAAAGCATTGTCCTTTATTTTGATACTTAGATACCTCAAAAATAAAGTCTAATGAGCAATGAACAGACATTGAAGAATTTTCCAAGGATATTTTAGGCCTGTTGGTATTATCCTTCCATACTGTAAACTCATCAGTAAAGAAAAAATTTGAGGCTCCACCATACAGAAGCCATAGCAATTTAATCAGCTCCTGGGAAATGAGACAACGGGATACAGGATTACAGAGATCTGTCTAATCATGTACTGTCCCTCCCAATATTGGAGCTCTGAGAGACACTAAGGTACAGTTTGGTTTCTCTTTCCAAAAAAAGATTATCACAACAGGTACAGGTGAAACCTCAAGATGAAAGTCCAAGCAATCAAGGATGTCAAGAAATGTACAATGGAGTTTCTTTTCCTAAATTAATAGGGTGTCTGAAAAAAATATTCAACTTCTTTCAAATTATCCAGGTATCCACAATAGATGTCTATACATACTTGATTTCAATTTTTTTTTAAGACGCTGTCTTTTTCAGCTAATCATAAGCAACTGAAAATAACAAAAATAATCATAACCTATGTATTCTTAAAGTAGGTATAACTAGCTTTAAATCTATAAATTCAAGCAACACAAAAGCTTTCAATTAAAATAAAAATGACATTTTCTGAATGTGCCAAGATTATGCCAAAACACAGTAAACAGATGAACTCATTGAATTCTCTGAGTGGTCCTATGTATGAAGGTACAATATTCCCCTACAATAGTGGAAAAAGAAACTGAAGCTTAACATGATTAAGTAATTTGCCTTAGATGAAAAGTTAGCAACAGAAGAGGCAAGATCTGAATCTAAACAGTCCAACTCTGGAGCAGGTACTCTAACCACATTGCCTTGGCTTCTCCATATAAGAGGTTTTGTGACCACTGAAGAGTCTTCAAAAATCTACATATAACATTCAAATTTCAAATAAGTGGACCTTTTAGAAATGAAAGTACTCTGGTAACTCATTCAATTATGATTATGTCTGGTAAAACATTTTTAAAAGTTCAATTATTTTTGTTGTTACATTTTCTTTTTTTTTGTACTAAAGTGCTTTTGATTATGTAAGATCCTGGTGTTTGTTTGTTTGTTTGTTTGTTTTTTGGTACTATGGATCGAACTCGGGACCTTGCGCTTTCGAGGCGGCGCCGGCACCACTGAGCTAAATCCCCGGCCAGATCTTGGTGTTTGTTAAGGAATGGTTCCTCTAGAAGGAAATTCATACCACATAATGTGTATTTCTAGATTTTTCTAGGATATTAGAATTGTGTGATCATATTCTACTAACAGATTTAAAAAAAAAAGTGTCATGAACCATACATATCAGATAAGCACATAGGATGTATTTCCTAACTTACCGATCTCTTTAAATCACCAAGACATAAAGTAGCCCTTTTCAGGTTTCCAGGTTCTCCTCTCTCTTAAAAATTCCTACCTTCTCGTTGGCTCTAAGATTTTATGTGTCCTCTATGAAAAGTATCCTTTTTTTGGCATGGTAAAGACATTAATTTATTCCTTTTTATTATGCTACTATAAATGTGAAGCCAGCCTACATGTGTTCTTTTTTAAGAAATACTCTTAAAATAGTGGATTTCAACTGGGGACATTTTGCCTCTTCCCCCGCCCTCCAAGAGACATTTGGCAGTATCTGGAAATATTTTTGGTTGTTAAACTTGGGGTGGGGGAAGACAGTGCTATCAGGATCTAGGCAGCTGAGGCAGCAATGTTGTCAGTCATTCCATGAACATAGGAAAGCCCTTCTCCTCACATCCCAAGGAATTATCAGGTTAAAAAGGCAACAGTGCTTGAGCTGAGAAACCCTGCTTTTTTCCTTATTAGCTAGTTACTCTGAAAATATTGTTTCACAACTGCCTCTTGTTTTAAACAAGAGTTTTAATTTTTATCTGAAATTTCCTAAATAATGAATTATATTTTTTATAGAAACAGGAAATGCTGTATTATCTAGTTTACCTAGGATCTCTTTTCTACAACAGCATCCCATTTTAACAGTGGATTCAGGTTGTGTTCGTAATATAATGCTGACATAAAATGTAAAAAGAATTAACATTTAGTGTGTTCCTGGCATTCATTCGTCTAATTTGAAAGTCCTGGCCTCCTGAAGCACTAACATCCCTCATTTTATAGAACAGAAAAATAGTTAACAAATAAATGAAAAAAAAAGCACCAAAAAACACATTTTAACTACCTCCAAACTATGTCCCAGGAATAAGTTATCCAATTGTCTGGTTTGACACTTTTAAATGAGCCTCTAATTCTAAAATGCTTTAACTAGAAAAATAAAAATATGACTACTTTAAAAATGGCTTATCTTTATACACTGCTTTATCATTTAGTTTAATGAAAATTATATTTTCTAGTCAGTAATATTTGCTTGTTGCTTAAAGTGGGTCTCTGCAAGTTGTTTGCTTTGTGGAGAAAATATGGTGGACAAGAATGTGTACAGGGGAGGGATAAAAGTAGGGGAAATTATTTTTTACTGTCTATTAACTGTTTCATACTATTGTTTTACCCTTTCAATTATTTCATTATCCTTTCATGCCATTTCATTTTAAGAAGTAGGATATGAAGAGTGAGTATTTTTGCTTGGAGTGGGCAAGAGGAATGGGGGGGAGCAACAGAAAAGGAAATATTATGAAGTAAGACTCATTTCATTCAAGGTTCATACGATTAACCATCCTTTGAAAGAGTAATTTTAGAAAGATACACATGGCATTAACAAGAATGAAAAAAAAGATGAACCAATTAAACAAAAGTCAGAAACAAGTCAACTTCTGATCCTTTGACTGAGGTCACAACAATCAATCATAATTCCAATTTAAGTTTAGGTGGAGGAAACCACTGATATGCAAATTTTAAAAATGTATTTAAATAGCAGTTACCAATTAATTTGAATAATTTTCTTTACACATCAGGTATAATCTTTATGAAAATTTGTATTAAACTCTGAAACACGTGGAGACAGCAATTTTCTGTTTCGGGATTAATGTACTTCATCTCTTCCCTCTGATATTACCATACTTCTATATTACCATCGTTCTGAAAGTTTTTGGGAAAGATGCCTTCACACCATCCTAGTATGCTCTCCTAGTAGGCTTAGTAATGCATTGAGTCTTTTCCCCTCCTCTAGTTTCCCTTTACTGCTTTCTTTTCCCATCACTCTATCTATCCTCTTGCTCACCCAGACAATACTAACTGCTCGTTCCTTACTGATATACTATCTCAATTTTTTACTTAGTTCACCTTTTCACTCTTCTAAAATTCAGTTCAATAAGCTACCTGATGGGTAATAGAGGTCATAATGACTTTCTAGGTTAACAAATGTTAGTTTTTCCAAACTGGGATTCTGTGATGGCTGCTTCATGATCCAACCAGCAGCATAAGCCTAGAAAATCCTTGATCCTGCATAATACTCTGCTAAAATGATTAAATATCCTACATCTCATAAGCTGGAGCTTTTCCTGTCTTTGGGCTAAAAATTATTTATAATAGTCTATTTAATCCAACATAAAACTACTTTTGGATTTCTGTTCCTGATTTGAACACAACTATACCATCTTTTACCTTTCATCTTCAAACAGTATTGCCTTTAAAATCACATAAGGCCTACTGATTAATGGCCAATCTCCAAGTGTTCTACATCTAAGCTTTTCAATTCAGTGCTCTCTCTTTCTGATTACAAAGTCCTACTTCTTTCTTTCACATTCACACTTAGATCCTTGCCATCAAAGTGCACTCTAATTCCTTAAATTCCCAACTATTCTCTGATTGAATCATCCCCCATCTAGCAATACTTGACTTCCTAAGTGGCCTGGACCACAGGGTCATTATTATCATGAAGGTATCCTTCTTAGAAGCCCTTAGACTTCTTGTTAGGTTCCTCTCCACTACCAGATCAGCTCTACCATTCAGTGACACAAAGTTGCTGAGTAATGCTTAAAAATAAAAACAATTGGGTTCCAAATAAATTTATGCTTTCTTCAGCTATGCCCTAATGTTCTGTAATCAACAATAACTTTATCTCATTAAATACTGATCACACGTTTACCTCGGCAGGTACCAAATCACCTCTAGTCACACTTCCCCCTTTACATTACTGAAAATAAAACAATTAACTTGACCTTAAAATGTTCCTGTAACTACTCATACCAACTCCCTGGGTACTTCTGGGACTCACCTTCATCCACTATGCATCCTCTTTGGCATGCCCCTTCCACCTTCTCTCCTAGCTATTCTTTTTTTTTCTTAACCTAAACTATGGAATGACCATATTCTTTACCTCAAATTGTACTTGTTGCCCCACTGAATGAAAATTTCTCTCTCCAAGGATAACTTTACTATATTTACTTGTTTCTTTCTTAGATCATATTCTTGACCGCCTTTCTCAACCAATTCTCCTTTGCAATTTTCTCCTTTGGCTATGGTGACTTTATACAAGTGACTGTCCAGATAGTGGGAGGGAACCTGAAAAGGAGTATAACCAAAAAATCACTGGGGCTCTCTAAAATTGTACTCCCTACCCCACCAATTTCCTCAAATACTCATGCATCTTCCTGGAACACAGACAATCTCAGTTGAGAATCACTGCCACACTGAACCACAATCACAGTCTTCAGTGTTTTGTATAGTTTAGGCATGTTTAGTGGAAAAGACTACAACTAGTACCTTATATTATCTTGGTTTTATTCCCATTCCTATAGTCACTTTCTTCCAAAATGGTTATAATTTATATTTTTACCAGCCATGTTTATGCTATTGTTCCGGTCTCTCTAGAACATGGCATTAACAGACTAGCAGTTTTGTCATTTTAAGCATGAAAAGGTATCTCAAAGAGATTTTTAATTTGCATTTGGCCAATGAAATGTGTATGCCACACAAATATAAAAAGAAAGCTAACTGTAAAAAAGAAATGATGCAAATATATTAGAGAAAATGAGTCAAATCACAGGAGATGTAACATTTCTATATTTTTTACTTTCCATTTTTCTGTGTCTATATTTCAGATGTGTCACTTCACCTAGCAAATGACTTAAATTTATCTTTTTAGATCATTTTTACATCCTTGTCTTTGGCTGAAATACCATAGGGCTTTTTGTACTTTTAGATTCATAGGGGTATCATCTGTGAGACTCAACTTGGACTGGCTTTGTGCTTTACACATTAAGCTCTTTTTGGCCATGAAAATAGCCACTCAAAATTCAGTAGGTTGGGCCAGGGGTTTAGCTCAGTGGCACACGCTGCCTTGTAAGCACAAGGTCCTGAGTTCAATCCCTGATACCACAAAAAAAAAAAAAAAAAAAATCAGTAGGTTCAGCAAATTCCCTCCAGTGGAAAGCTAGTCATAAGTTCAGCTTACCTTTAATTTTTGCCTGAAGTTTTCTACCTAAATTTCTTCCTTTCTTTATAGTTCATAAATGCCTTTAAAAATTTTTTTCTTTAGTCATCCAACTTATTTAGTTGTTTTTCTAAACAGGAAATTCAGTCCAGGTACAAGTTCCCCAAACTGACCTGTTCTTTCTTCACTGGCTTCATATCACCTTTCCATTCCCCAAATGATAAGAACGTGCCCACACTCTGCAGCTTGCTATTTTGTTGCTTTGTAACATCTGTGGGGATCTCATCACTCTCAATCCAGTCATTGGAATTTATTATAGTGACAATTACATCAGAATCTCTGATAAGTGTCTAATGTATAAATCTGGATGGTGGCAGGGGGAGATGGGTGAGTGCTCTGGGAAAAGCTCTACAAGTCATACACACATACATAAGAATAGCTTTTTACCTACACTATCCCTGTTGAGAATCATGTCTCTAATGATTCCAATTAGTTACAGACATCTGATAAGAAAAAATAATTCTAGGACTAACCTTATTAATGAGATTCAGAACTAAAATTTTCAACTGTGCCATGAATATATCTCCTTGAATTCCTACCACAATACAAACTCAATATATACATATTAAATGTCATCATCCTATCAATTTGCCCTATCAATTTCTAAATCATTATAAAAGATGTTATGAATCTTTGAGGAATCTAGACAAATCTGATTCATTTGTACAATATTCTTTTTCTTTTCCCATATCATCCTGCATTTCCACATTCATTCTTTTGAGTCATTCCTTTTGTTATTCTCTTATTCTAGGTCCTTGCCAGACCTTTGTAGTCTGTAACTAATATATCTTGCTTCTTGTCTCTCTTGACACCATTTCCTCCTAATTTACTGTAAGGTAAATTATCTTAACATTGTTTTCCATATTACCCATCTTCTCAAATATATTTAATGGCTTACCACTGCCTATATAGAATTCTTTAACTGGTCTACAGCATATTCAGTATTTGGCTAGGGATGTAGGACAGAGAAGAAGGGAATGAAGAGAACTTATGCCCCTGGTCAAGTAAAATTCTATGACAATTTTTTTCATTCTGGATGTTTTAAACACTAATAAGTTACTATAAAACTGTATCACACTAGAAGTAAAAAGCAAATCTCCTTTGCCGTTGATGTGGGACTTCAAAACTGCTGTAGCATTTTGCATTAGCCTCAATACCTACCAAAAACTTACGGGCACTGAAGAAAGAAATAGTAGAGCTCTATTCCCTGACTTATTCAGGACCCTTTAACATGTAGTCCTTGTCCTTCCCTATAGGTTCTACTACATAATTTCATAAATTCTCTCTAACCTGACTAAACTATTTACTATTCTTTTAATAGGTCTTGTTATCCCTACCCTATGATTCTGTTCACGTTCTTTCTACTTACCATTGTCCTTGTCTATCCTTGAGGCCAAACTCCTTCATGAAGACATACTCAACTGTCTCAGTTGCTGGTGACAACTCCTTTCTCTAGAAGCCATAGTTTGTACTATTCATTAGGCAACTCATATATGCTAATTACTACTGTAATCTACATAACCATAAATAAGTCCTGTCTCTTCTCCCTACCATGGATACCATGAGGTCAGACACAATACCTGACACTTTACACATCTGCTATTTTGAACAATACCATACCTAGAGTTTTCAATAAAAGTGTAATGATTCATGTAGCACTTCATATCTATATTTGGATTTCCATATGTCTTCTACGTATGTATTCCGAGAGATCCCAGAAGCGAAGAAAAAAATAATAAAAATCTTTGTTTAACAATCACATCCCTGGCTGGGCATGGTGGCACATGCCTGCAATCCCAGCACTTAGGAGACAGGAAGGAGGATTGCTAAGAGTTTGAGGACAGCCTGGGCTACACAGCGAGTTCAAGGCCAAAATGAACTGCATAGTGTGACCTTGTCTCAAAAAAACCAAAACAACAATAACAACAAAGTCATATTCCTGCTAACATCAATATCCTGAACTGTAACTTAAACCAACTCTCTTGATTCAGGTGGGGAAAAAAAGGTATATTCAAGTACATCATCAAATGAGTTTCTTTTTAAAAACCTACGCTGGTCAGAATTCCCACAGTGTTAATGAATAGGCTGATGAAACAATCAACTTTTAGTCAACGATTTTATAATCAAATTCAAGGAATAAATTCATCAAGATATAAACCCTATAATGTTTATCAAACTGTGATTTTTCACTTTTTACTATCTTAAGAACTATGTATAACACTGCAAAGAAGCCATTTACTTACCTCCCTATTTTCCACACTTTTCTATAACATTTAAAAAAAAGTTATTTAACTTTTTTCCTTAGCATCAAACACAAATGCTCACTGAATTACTCACAACTCATAGACGAAATCTAAAAATTTGTGAATATGAACATCTTGTCCTAAAATGGCAAAAAAAGTTGCAAGAGTCCTTTCTTGTCCTCAAATGGCAAAAAAAGTTGAAAGACTCCTTTTTTTTTTTTGGTACTGGGGATGGAACTTGGGATTTTGCGGTTGCAAGGCAGGCGATGGAACCACTGAGCTAATAAATCCCTGGCCCTGAAAGACTCCGTTAAAGCTTTTAAGTTTTGGGGATGAACAGAACCCAAACAAATATATCATCCTAATAAAGAAATGACCATATAAGGTAGCAGGTGAAAAACAAAACTTGTATTAACAATGACATTTTAAAGCAATTCCTTAGATTTTTGTGTAGTTTAACTCTAAGATTGAAAACTTAGCATTATCTAAATTCCAAATATCATATAAAGCATACACCATTATTGAAAAAATTATTTTTGTTAAGTCTAATGAAAACTTTTATCTCATTTCCTTCATTTATAAGTGGAAAAATATCCTAATGAAGATATTCACAATACTTTTATGCATAATTTTTCTCCTTCTGAAAATTGCTTACATGGTAAAAACTGACTTAATAAGTTAATGGTTTTTAGGGATAACAAAATTAAATATGTGTTCCAATGCATTTTCATGTGAGTTTTTCAGAACTCATTAATTCATAATTCTAAGTCTTAATCTAGGGGAAAAATATTCACTAGTGGTAAGAGAAATGATCTTCAAACATTTCAAATCATACCTGTTTCTGAGCTTCTACTTTCTGCTTTCTGGTTGGATCAATTGCATCTACCATCCATTTGATAGTAAAGTATGTTACTGCACCAAATATTGTCAAACGGAAAATTAGACCAACAACTTCGTTCCGGCTTAAGGGTCGAGAAAAGGCTTCAGCATGTACCATTTTGATTGTTAACCTTAAAAAAAAAAAAAGGTCATTAGGTAATATCTATATTCATTAAAATTGGAAGATTGATAAAGTAGCTTGAAGTAAGCAAGAAAAACTAACTTGTAGTCAAACTCAAACATTACCTATCTTTAGAAAAAAGTTTCATTTTAAAGAGAAATGGATTTTTAAATGTTAAGTAAACAAATGCCTTTAACTACTAATAGTGGAATAATTTATACAATTTTCAAATTACTCTTTTAGCTTTTAAGTAACTGTTTCAGAGAGTCTAGAAAAATAATATTAACACTAATCCAACTAAAGAAAAGCATCTTAACAGTGAAATATTTTGCTTCTTCCTTCAAGATGGTAAAGATTTCTTCTATTAAATATAACATACGAAATAACTTTTGAGAATGAAATTCACACTATGAGTTGACTTTTTCTTCATATTTATTTTAAAGTTCAAAGGACTACTTAAATTTAAACATGCTATTATCTCAATTAACAAGTGATACTAATTTTTTTTTTGTACCGGATATTGAACTCAGGACCTTGCACTTGCAAGGCAGGCGCAGCGCTGCTGAACTAAATTCCTGGTCTCTTATTATTTGATTTCTTGATTGTGGCCATTCTTTCTGGAGTAGGATGGAATCTCAGTGTTGTTTTAGTTTCTCTAATGGCCAGTGATGTTGTGGATTCCTTCATGTATTTATTGGTCATTTGTACATCTTCTGTGAAGTGTCATTTCACTTGCCCATTTTTGATTGGATCTTTTATTTTGAGGGTGTAATTTTTTTTTTAGACAAGGTCTTGCTTTGTGTTCAGGCTGGCCCTGAACTCACTTTGTTGATATTAATTTTTTGAGTCATCCCATTGCTCCCAATAGCCCAGGCAAATGAAAGCAGCACTTTCAAAACTTTCGAGTCATCAAGAAAACTACCACAAAAATAAAGTACTCATTCAAGAACAGAGGAAAAAGTATGATATACACACAGTATATCTCTGAGTAGCTACAACAATCACAGCTAGGCTTACAGCAGGCCTAGACTCTACTGTCAAAGGCATTAAGTACACAAAATAAGCTTGTTAGAGATATGACTATCACATTTTGGAAAACAGGATCTCAGCTTCCAACAATGCCATTAAATTCTTGGAACAAAATTTTGCTGAATACTGTTGGTATTTAAGAAAAAAAGGGGCAACTGAGACAGAAGGGTTGAAAGTTTGAGCCCAGCCTGGTCAACTTAGTGACTTAGTGAAAGTTTGTGTCAAAATAAAAATAAATAAATAAATAAAGGCTAGGGACATAGTTCATTGTGAAGGTCCTGAATAAGAGGCCCAGAGTGCAATTAAAATAAGATAAAATACTTATTGTACTCACGTGAAAAGAAACAAATCAGAATATGTAGACAGCTCAATGACGGCTAAAAATTAGGTACTGCATGGATTAATATCTATGATCCTTCCAGCTCTAAAATTATTTTCTCTTCTTGTTACCACTAAGTTAAAGCTTCTCTTCACCTCCATCCCTCTAGAATAGCTCCAACAATTTTTAAATTCCTCTTACAGATCTCTTCTTTCTTCAAGATTATATATTCCTTCCTAATCAAAACAAATCATAGCTTTCCCTTTATAGGATTCTCAAGCATTCAAGACTACCCTAATCTAGCTCCCAAGAGTCACTTTTCATCACTTTATCTCTAACCATTTCTCAAAGCGAACTCTCAACAGGTGGAGTCACTGGCATCTGAAAATGCCACATGGATTTTTTTTCCTTCAGCCTTGTATTTGCCTTTGCCCTGCATGGGTCATTTTCACTCCTTCACCTGAGATTACTCAAATTCTATACAAATTTCAAAAACCAACTTTATCTGTTCCATGAAGCCATTCAGATCACATTAATCCTCTACATTAGTCATTTAGTCCTACTAAATACCTTAAGAAATCTTTATTTTTAGTCATTATTGAATATATATTCTATTCATCTATCCACCTTTCTAATTACCACACACAAAGACTATTCAAAAATTATGTTCAACAGATAAACTGCCACTTAAGAAAAACCCTCCATTTCAACATTCCAAAAGAGTGATATTTCAGGATTTGCAAAAGTCAAGATTCCCTACTTCTCTATTAGCAGTAGCCATTCACTTCACAATAATTACATTATCTAATTTAAACATAACAACTAAATAACTGAAAGCCTTTATTTTGGTACACCTGTAATCCTGACAGTAACAGAATTTGGGGCTAGCCTAGAACTAGATTACATCCTAAGACCCTGACAAAAAAAAAAAAAAAAAAGGAAAAAGTTAAGAAAATTTTGGGCTATGGATGTTAAGTAATGTAATTTATTCAATAAGCACTGAACATCCATATAATACCCTATATACCACATATACAATAGTAGCTAAGATATAATAACATGATGAACACACTTGTCCAGTTATATTAGTTATAAAGAAAAGAATACAGCTGGAAGAAGTCATCTAATCAAAAATCTCTCTTTATGTAACTAAGTATGCTTTCCTCCATCAGCACTGATTCCAAAAAATGGGTTACAGGACACTACTCACAGAAAGTGAAAACGTGACTTTAGTTTTTATTCCAACAAAGTTGAAAATGCCATTGCAATGTGTCGTATCAATATGTGGGGTACTACTCAATAGGTGAAAATAAATTGGCAAGATAAGGATTAGCTAAATCTGTGAGAAGTAGTGAAATTCCAAAAAAATTGGTTCCATTTATTTAAAGTTGATAGTACAGTACAGTACTGTTAGACATGAAACTGCCATCTACTGGATGTTCACTGAACTACATGAACAAATTAAGGCTGCTACCAAAGCACATCCCAAAGTCACCAGGATAGTTAACAATTTTTAATCCTATAAAAAATATCGACACAAAATTCGTTTATGTATTATTCTTAAGTTGTTAACTCTCTCTTAAATTATTATCTCTTTTTTAAATTATTAACTGTAATATGGTACAGATTTAGGACTACTGTCATTTTTTTTTTTTCCTGGAGACAGGGCCTCCTTATGTAGAGCCTCAGGGTCTCAAACTTAGGATACACCTACCTCAGCCTCCTGAGTGCTGGATTTACAGCTTTGTGGCACCACCTAGGCCTAATGTCACTTCTAAAACAACAACCTATTACTCTAAATGACTTCAAAATACTGAAATGAAACTGAAACTTCTCACTGTGTAGACTAACTATAAATGATGTATATTCTATCTGTGAGATGTGCACTCATCTTTCATTCCTACAGCATTGATATACCTGCAATGTAAAGCCAGTAACATTACAGCAGAATATTGGGGCCAGGGATTTAGCTCAGTGGTTCCAGCACCTGCCTCGCAAGCACAAGGTCCCCAGTTCGATCCCCGGTACCAAAAAAAAAAAAAAAAATTACAACAGAATATACAAAAGCTGCAAGTCCACACAAGAGAGAACGTATGTATTTCAATCTTGTGTTAAACACCAGCTTCAAAAAGTGGATATAAAGTGGTGACACACGCTTGTGAGCTCAGCACTTGGGAGGCTGAGGCAGGAGGATTGCCATGGGTTCGAGGCCAACCTGGGCTATATAGTGAGTTCAAGGCCAGTCTGAACTACATAGTGAGACTCTGTCTCAAAATAAATAAATAATAAAAAGTTGATAAACAAATATACACATATAGTGCTATGTATCATTAAATATCACAAAACACTGGTAACTCAGATTTATCTGTTAGGCAAACATAAACACCATGAGTTTCATTCTAAGGAGTTCTCTATCTCAGAGTGGAAAACAGTGAAATTGTATTACTTCATCTAATGAGCCACTTATTGACACATTAAGAGCTGAGAACATAGCACATATACGGTGTATCTCCTAAGTCAATGCAGTGTTTCACAAAGGGTCTCTGGTCCAAGTCCCACGTTTGCAGACATCAAGGCCCTAGAGACACAGCCTGTGACAGTGAGGGACTGCCAACCTTCACACAGAGGACAAGGTTATTATTAACATCACCATACTCTGAAAGCTGGCCCAGCCATGAAGAAACAACCTCTGCTTTTGCACCAAGTGGTAGCAGCTCCTGTACAACAATCACACTCAGTTTCTTCCAATCGCCTTTACCTAGGAGCTCACTCTCCCAGAACGATCCCAAGCCTCCACAGTGACCAGACTGCCTACAGAATTTCCCCTGGGAACAGCACAAGTCCTGGGGGCAGCGCCAAGCCAGACCTCAGGGCCCAGGCCGGCCGGAAGCCAAAGCGAGGACCGGGACGCCCTTGGAGGTTAATTCGCTCGCTAGGGAGAACGCGGGTCGCTGGGGAACGGCCCTGACAATGCACGTGGGAAGAGGGCGAGGTGACCTTTCTCGCTAGGCTTCCCAGGTCGGAACCGGTACCTAAGGGAGCTATGAGGAAACCTGCAAGCGCCTGGCCAGGCCCCACAGGAACCCGCTACTCACCCCGGCACAGAAACAGCCGCAGCAGGAACGCACACCAGCCTCACACAGGAAGAAAATGCCACCCGGGAGAGAACGCTTCCGGCTCGTGAGCAGCCCCCCCCCCACCAACACACAATGCGCATGCGCAACCCCGCCGGCGTTCCGAGCCTGACAAACTGCTAAGTGGAGCGAGGTGAACGCCCTCTCACGCAAGTTACTTTGTCTGCTACCCGCTGGGCTGAGGCTTTCTCAAAGCCCACGTGTCTGCAAGCGACGCTCACCTAGGCTCCGAGTTTAGCTACTGAGTCTGAGATTGAATTGGGAAAGGTATTTATCTTTACAGGCCGGGCGCAGCCCCAACGAATAGGAGCGTCTGCTTGACAATGCAAAGGAATTCTTCCCTGACGCCGGTTTCATTCTGATTCTTCGCCCAACACCCTATGCAAATCTTACTTTAGCCAAAGCGCAGACGCGCGTGGCCACCCCTCACCATCTGCCTTTCAGTTTCTAGGGTTAGCTCAGCTTCCTCCCCCGTCTCCGTACTGGCAAACACCTGGGGGCGACCCCTGAAAATCCTTCAGCGAAAGACTGAGCAGCCCACGCAGGCAGGCCGGCCAGTTGGAACAGAATAGAGCATCTGGTAGCAGATTTTGCATTTTGATGATTTCACTTTTTCTTTTACCTCTTCCTCTTTCCAGAATGAGAGACAGGGGCACAAGAAGACCCAAGGGAGCACACCTGAAAGCCAGTGCCTTCTGAATACACAGACCAGCAGGGGGAGAGATGACATTACACACTTATCAGATAAAAGATGCGTTACTTCCTTCAGATTGAGGTGTTAAGACTGAAGTAATGAAATAGTTCCCCTCCATATCTGCTGTCTGCTATAAGGACCCATCTTTGATGGCTAAAGAATTTTGCAGCCTGTTGAACTGTTGAATTAGCAAATGCTGCTCCTGTTACAATCCCCCTCCTCACATCCTTGAACCTAGAACCTTCATACCAAGCTGCATTGTCAGCCCTCTCCCCCATTTTCAACTTTTTAAAATTTTAAGACAGAGTCTTGCTAAGTTGTCCAGCCTAGACTGGAACTTGTGATCCTCCTACCTGAGCCTCCCAAATACTGGGATTATAGGCATGTGCCATTATGCACAGCTATGTGTCTGCATGCTTTTTTTTTTTTGGTACTGGGGATCAAACTCAGGTCCTTGAGCTTGTGCAGCAGGTGGAGAAACCACTGAGCTAAATCCCTGGCCCCTGCATGCTTATTTTACTTTTTCAAAGTTAATGCAAAGTTGGGTTTAGGAGTACTAGACTGATCAAGGAGAAAGACTGACTTGACAAGAACAGTAGAGTTACTAGTCTGGGAAAATGTTCACACACAAAAAGAGAAAACCTGTCCAACTAAGCACCTCACCTGTCTTACTCTTAGGCACTGATGAACTTAATCTAGCTTGCTTGAGGTTAAGAGGGCTACTGGGATGTAGGACTTTCAATGCTGAAACAGAAAAAATCTTGGACAAAGCATAAGGAATCGGACCCTACTAAGGACATCCTAAAAGAATCCTACAATGAAGTGGAGCTCCTAAAATGGTTACATCTCATCTCAATTCATCTGCCTAATGTCTGAGGAATATTTGCATAGGAAAGGAAACTGTTAGATAAGGTGATCAAGCCTGACCATAAAGAAGCTAGTCCAAAATAAATGCTGCTGCCATTTCTTTTCCAGTGGTTTGCCTCTGTCTTTTGGACTTGATACTTAAATTTAGCAAATCCTTAGGAGATTTCTTTTTTTTTTTTAAACAAGAAGTTTATTTAAACAACAAGACACTTGACTTAAAGTGAAAACTATCTAGGATTCTTTTACTTTTAAAGAGTAATGTAGATTGCCCTACATGTAACAGCTACATACAAAAAAGTTATAAAATTGTCCTTGATTTTACAATGATAAATGAAAAACATTAAAATTCTCCAATCAAACAAGGTATACAAGGGTTTTTATGTTGTTGTCTTTTCTGTTAAAACAGTGAGAGGAAAATAACTTACTGGAATATAAAGATAAGAGCTGATGAGCTTGCCACTAATGGAGAGAGGGAATTATTTTCACAGAACCAGTATCTCCCCATCCCGTCTCCATCTGATGTCAATCAAAACATATTGTTGGCCATTTAGTTAAAAAAAAAAAACCAATATGCTTGTGCACATACACCAGATACTTTATGTACAATAAAGGAATGGGGAAGGGGTAAATGAAAGAATAGAGAAAACTATACTGTAGTAGTCAGGATGTGGTGGAACCAAATTGCAGTTTTCTAATTGAGAATGTATTCTTGGTCTGTAAGAACAGAGTCCTGAAGTAGAGTTGTTGCAGGTTCCCTTTTAAGTAGACACCTCCTGTCTGCTGCTGGAACGCATCAGTTGTATCTTTGTCCTCCATTTCCAACTGTGCAGGTATGTCTGTTTCATTGATTGGCTGTCCATCAAATCGGAATCTGATCTGCCTCACTGACAAATCCTGTCATTCACAATAGGCTTTCATTAGTTCACTAAGTGGTGTATGCCTCTTAATCTTTTTTTTTTTTTTTGGTACTGGGGATCAAACTCAGATCCTTGCGCTTGTGAGGCAGGCGCTGGAACCACTGAGCTAAATCCCCGGCCCTATGCCTCTTGATCTTAAACTGCACCACAGAACCATCCTGCCCTGCCACCTTCAAATTAATATGATCATTGTTCTCAGTCTTGACTCCTTCCTTGGGCTTTTCGTTGGCGTAGCGAGCACCCGAGTCTTCTCAGCTGCTGCTTTGCAAAAGAGGTACCAGGTCCTCACAGAACGAGCACACAAGCAGCTCCAGGAGCGGCAGAAGGAGGAGGCAGTGGTGGCCAAGGGAGAGGGTGAGTTCATGTCGTGCCTGTGGCCTTATGTCTGGGTTCTAAGACATCAAATGACTGCCTTTCCATATACCATACACTTGCAGCAATCACTAAATCAACTAAGTTATTCCAGAGTAGAGCAGATTGAACATATGCTTTTCATCTCAGGATTCCGTTATATAATCCCTGGCAACACAAAAATACCATATTTGGCCTGCAGGAGGGGCTCAATCAATAATATACACTAATCAGGAAATTATAATAAATTTTTGTAGCCTTTCTGGGGCTTACTTCTTTGCTTGAATCAACATTATAAATTATTATAGTTACTGTGGAAAGTGTATGTGTGTGTATACAAAAATACCTCTTGAAACAGTTATGACAATTCTCCCCTTTGGTACCAATTTTTTATTTTTATTGTTGGGTGGGAGTGGTTGGTTTGCTCTGTAGCCAAGGTCAGTGCACTAGAACACCTGGTAGGAGGAGGGGATTCCTTAGATTAGCCATTCCCAAATTTCATCGTATGTAGACTCACATGGCAAGTTTGACATAATACAGATTCCTTATCTTAGACACAGAGGCTCTCATCCAACTGTTCTAGATTTTGGTGAAGGTATCTACATTTTTATTAAAGATCTGAGATCTCTGCCATATGAGGATACTATGAGAAGATGTCTGTCTACAAGCAAGGAAGAGTGCCCTCATCAGACCTTCCAGCCACCAGAATTGTGAGAAATATATTTTTATTGTTTAAGCTAATAAGTCAACAGATAAACATCTGAGATAACTCATATAGAGTAGTTTTGGACCACATTTTGAGAAAATCTGCCCCAGTGAGTGGAGATTTTAGTTGTATTTTTACAAAAATCTCTACTCCCCAGCCTAAAAGGCCTATCTGGTCACCTGAACCAGTAGGTTAGCTGAGATACATTGAGAAATCAAATCAAGGAGGCCTCATGATGAGATATGGAGTAAAATCCCTCTGGAGAGAAAAACATCTGAAATCTTTTAAGTAAACAGAGTAAACCTGACTCTACATTGCTCATTGAAAATAGTGCAATTGAATCATTTAAAATGCACACCAAAAGATGCAAGCAAGTAGGCCCATACCAGCCGCATGGTATGGCCATCCACCAAGTCCAAGCCAGCACTATATTTTGCTTCCCCTTGGCATGGGGCAGCAGAGTCACAGACTAACCAACTGACCTGCTCCTGGATGAGGACAATCCCCAGGAGAAAAGGTGAGCCCAGAAAACTAGCAGACCCAGGGAAAAAATATGGACCTGGCCAGCAACATCAGAGGCGGTCTAGAACTATCCTCCCTACAGGACTACATGAGAGACAACCATAGGAGACTACATAGACCCTCTCTAAAAAGCTCAGACTGGAAAGAACACAGGCCCTGCCTTCTGTAGGGAGCAACTAGAGCAGTGATGGCAAACCTTTTAGAGATCCAGTGCCCAGACTGCAATCCAACACCCATTTATTTAACACAAAGTGCCAACACTGCAATTAAACCTGAACACTGAGAGTTTAGTTTAGAAAAAAACAACTGTTATCCCATGCTCAGCTGCTGGGGTGACTTGGCTCACCTGCCTGCTGTGGCACACCCTGCAGCCTATTTCCAGCAGAAACCAGAGGGCTGATAGTGTTTTCTGTCTACCAATGTGAGCAAGGACACACCTTGGCTTAGAGGGTAACCACAGTCTGAAGTGAACCAGGGGCCTCTACTACAGGGAAGTCCCCTCCAAAACCCATAGGACCTAGAGCCAGTTGGAGAAAATTGTGACTGACTTGATTTTAGGACTATAAACCCTGGGAAAAAAACCACTCACGCGAAAACATAAACTTTTTTCTTTGACTCAATCTTTCTTGATTTTTCTATTTAGTTTTCTCTTTTCTTTATAGCTTTTCTTAGGAGGTGGGGGGTTTTCTCATTTTTCTTTTCTTTTTTTTAAACATTTTTTTGTTTTAACTTCTTTTCTCTCCCTTCCCCTCTCAATTTTTCTCTTCTTTCATTTCTTGTACTTTGCTCTCTGTTTTTTCTTCTTTTTCTTGATTGTTCTTTCCTGCATCTATTTTCTAAAATTATTAGTTTCCTTCTATTCTTCAATAGGACCTCCTATCTCACCTTTCTCTCCTCATATACCATTGAATGACTTCTCAAATTTTACTTTTTTCATTCTCCAGATCCCCCTCTACCTTTACTAGTATAACTACTGAGCTTTGTGAATCTCTAGACAGCTAGCTAACATTATGCTACTACTGTT